TCTGATCCTGCATTGAGCAGGGGGTCGGACTAGATGGCCTGTATGGCCCCTTCCAACTCTGTGAGTCTATGATTCTCGATCAGACCAGTGGTCCATCTAGTCCAGCATCCCGTCTCACACAGTGGCCAGCCAGTTCCTCTGGAGGGCCAACAACAGGGCATAGAGGCCGAGGCCTTCCCCTGATGTTGCTTCCTGGCTCTGGGATTCAGAGGTTTCGTGCCTCTCGAATGTGGAGGTTCCCCGAAGCCACCATGGCTAGTAGCCACTAGAGACTTATCCTCCATGAATCTCTCAAGTCCCCCTTTAAAGCTGTTTATTCCTGTGGCCATCACTACAACCTATGGCAGGGGTGTCAAATATGCGGCCCGGGGGCCAGATCAGGCCCCCGGAGGGCTTCCATCAGGCCTGCAGTGGAACCGGCCATCTCCTGCTTCCAGTTCTGCTGCTGCTGCATCATCGCTTGCTTCGCCGGACTCTTAATCGCTCAGCCATTTCATGTTTTAAACTGGGTCCTAGACTCAGAACTTTGAGCATGAGATTCCTGTGGCGAACGTCAATAAATCAAAAGTAGGTTTGCAGCTTACAAAGCTAATATTTTAAGCATGTCTTTATTTTAAGTAGGGGAAAAAAATCTTTGTGTCTGTGTCCTTTATAAAGTTTATATCTCTGCCACCTGGCATTACATTTTATGACACACATGGCCCGGCCCAACAAGGTCTCATTTATGTCACTTCCAGCCCTCCTAACGAATGAGTTCGACACCCCTGACCTACGGCACCCCATTCCCTCAACATTCCTGACTGTCTCATCAGACCTACTGATTTGTGTTAACGGACCTGCAGCTGATTTCTCACCTGGAAGTCCCGTCCGATAAAGAGGCAGGATCCTGCTTGCTGTATATCTCCAGCCGGTCATATAAGCAGGAGATGGAGTTTTCGATGTCTAACGTCTCCACTTGCAGCTGGATCACGGTCCCCTGCGTCCCCCGGATATGCCACGTGCACAGGATGTTGGGGGGGTAGGGGGCTGGGTAGTTGGGGGAGCTGAAGGAGCCCTCGGGGCCATGCAGGATCCCCCCACACGCTGCAAGGGGAGACACAAAGAAACAGTTGATGGACCCGGCAATAGATGAAAGGGGTGCACAACCAAGAGGAGACACGAGCGAAACGGCTGCAGCGGTGTGCAGGCAGGCAAAGAAAAAAAGGCATTTGGAGATTCTGTAGCAATGACTCGACATCCTGCTAAACTGAACTTTTCCTACATTTCATTTCTACATTTGAAGAGGTGGCAGGCCGTAATTGGGGAGGGGGCGGGCTGAAAGGTGGGCGAAAATATAGTCATTATTTTGTGTTCAAAATTTCTGCTTTCTTAAAAGGAAAAAAGACCCCGGGACCAGTGCTCCCTTTAGGCTGAGTGAGTGTGAGCTAGCTAGCTCACAGTTTTGTAGCCTCCAGCTCACACATCTTTGTCTTCGCTCAGGAAGGATGGCTCCAGAGCAAACTGATTTATGCAGTAGACAAATCGCTCGCTCACCACTTCAATGCCAGTGGTTCACAAAGTAGAATTTTTGCTCACAAGACTCCACAGCTTACAGAAGAAGAAGAGAAGAGATTGGATTTATACCCCACCCTTCACTACCCAAAGGTGTCTCAGAGCGGCTTACAAACTCCGTTCCCTTCCCCTCCCCACAACAGACACCCTGTGAGGTGGGTGGGGCTGAGAGAGCTCTTTCCAGAACTACCCTTGAGAGAACAGCTCTGGCAGAACTACGGCTTGCCCAAGGTCATCCAGCCAGGTGCAAGTGGAGGAGTGGGGAATCAAACCTGGTTCTCCCAGATTAGAGTCCACACGCTTAACCACTACACCAAACTGGCTCTGGGAGCATTGCATAGCGCTTTGAGAACACGCTGAGTGAGCTGCAAGTGCAAACTGAGCCAGAGTAACATGACTACCATGCGGGAAAAAAACCCTTGTGTGGAATCAGCCCCTTACTTCTTGAGCCAACTCCAGAGGGAATCTTCTGGAGATTTGGAGCGTGGAGCCTTGGGAGGGGACAGACTTCAGCCGCATTGGCCTTAATATGTAACAGAGTCTATCCTACAAAGCAGCCATTTTTTTCCAGGGGAGCTGATCTCTAGAGGATGGCTCTAGAGGATCTCTAGAGGATGGCTCTAGAGATCAGCTGCAACTCCAGAGATCTCCAGGTCCCACCTGGATGCTGGCAACCTCATTGTACAACATGGTTGCTCCGAGCCTGTGCCGATAGCCCTTCTGGGAGATTTCATTTCAGAGCTGTATCTTCCAGAAAGCAGGCACTCGAATAGAATGCATGACTCACACTTTGGGGAAGGGGCTGTGGCTTGGTGGCAGAGCGTCTGCTTGGCATGCAGAAGGTCTCAGGTTCAATCCCCGGCATCTCCATTTCCAAGGATCAGGTCACAGGTGACGCAAAAGACCTCTGCCTGAGACCCCGGAGAGCCACTGCCAGTCTGTGTAGACAATACTGACCTTGATGGATTGATGGTCTGATTGAGTATAAGGCAGCATCGCGAGTTTACTTGTCCAGCACCAGCAATACCGATTCGACAACAGTTTAGTACTCACAAGGTGTCGAGGTCATGGCTTGGGGTGGGTCTCCTTGGGACGATGCGGCTGTGGACTCAAGGGGGGACTTGGCGGGGGGAGCTGAGGTAGCGTTGGAGACGGTGTGAGCGTAAGATGATGCCCCAGGTGAGAGTCTGGCCAGGTGAGAGGATTTCAGCTCTGCTGCCGCAGGAAAAAAAAGAAGACGTCAGAAGTTGAGGAATGAGAAGGCCGATGCTAGAAAGGGGAGCCTGGGGCCCGGTTCGCACATGCAGGAAACTGAGATGGCAAGAATTTATTTATTTGTTCTCCTGGAAGGCAGAGTTTCTTTTCCTGAATGGGTCATCCAAAGCTGGATTCTGCTATTCTGAAGTCTGGCAGTCCGTTCTCTCGCCTTCGGCCTCTGCCCTGCACGTGTGAAGCCAGATTCATCTCTTCCCCCCCCGCCAATCAGAGTTCCATTTAAGAACATCAGAGAAGCCAATGTTGGATCAGGCCAGTGGCCCATCCACTCCAACACTCTGTGTCACACAGTGGCCAAAAAGACCAGATGCCATCAGGAGGTCCATCAGTGGGGCCAGGACTCCAGAGGCCCTCCCACTGTTGCCCCCCTCCCAAGCACCAAGAATACAGAGCATCACTTAAGAAGATAAGAGAAGCCAACGTTGGATCAGGCCAATGGCCCGTCTAGTCCAACAATCCGTCACACAGTGGCCAAAAATACCAAGTGCCATCAGGAGGTCCACCAGTGGGGCCAGGACATTAGAAGCCCTCCCACTGTTGCCCTCCCCCAGCACCAAGAATACAGAGCATCACTTGACCCAACCTGTGAGTTCCTATCTATACCTTGTGGCTAAGAGCCACTGATGGACCTCTGCTCCATATTTTTATCCAGTTCCCTCTTGATTGATTACAAGTCCATGCTTGTAGCCGCCACCACCTCCTGTGGCAGTGAATTCCATGTGTTCATCACTCTTTGGGTGAAGAAGGACTTCCTTTTATCTGTTCTAACCTGACTGCTCAGCAATTTCACGGAGTGCCCACGAGTCCTTGTATTGTGAGAAAGGGAGAAAAGTACCTCGATCATGTCACCCCCTCAGCCGTCGTTTCTCCAAGCTAAAGAGCCCCAAGCGCTTTAACCTTTCTCAATAGGGAAAGTGTTCTACCCCTTTGATCATTCTAGTTGCCCTTTTCTGCACTTTTTCCAATGCTACAATATTTTTTTTGAGGTGTGGTGACCATAACCTGCCCCAGACTGAGAGTTCCTATCTATACCTTCTGGCTCATAGCCACTGATGGACCTCTGCTCCATATGCTTATCCAATCCCCTCTTGAAGCCGTCCATGCTTGTAGCCGCCACCACCTCCTGTGGCAGTGAATTTGTAACACTCACTCTGACCCTGCAAACGTGCAGATCTTCACATTCATTTAAGAAGGCCAAGACAACCTCTCAGTCCCTCCTTCCACCTTTGGGAGAGAAACAGGGTTGCCAAACTCCAGGTGGGGCCCTAAGATCTCCTGCTATGACAACTACTCCCCAATCTACAGAGTTTGGTTTTCCTGGAGAAAAAGGCTATTTTGGAGGGTGGGCTCCATAGCATTGTGCCCTGACGAGGTCCCTCCCCTCTCAAAGGCCTTCCTTCCTCTCCCCCCCAAAAAAATCTCCAAGTTATTTCCCATCCCAGATCCCGGCAACCCCAGAGAGGAGGCAGTCCCCTCCGGGAAGGGGCCTTGATGTTCCCTCTAAGCTGTGGAGTCTTGTGAGCAAAAATTCTACTTTGTGAGCTACTAGCAATAAAGTTGTGAGCAAGTGATTTGGCTACTGCATAACCTAGTTTGCTCTGGAGCCCTCCTTCCTGAGCTGAGACAAAAACGTGTGAGCCGGAGGCTAAAAAAATGTGAGCTAGCTCACACTTACTCAGCTTAGGGGGAACACTGGACTTGACCACCCTGCCACGGAAAGCGGCGAAAACCCCGACCCATGCCCAGCATTGTGCTCACTCCTGCACGACGAAGAGCGGCTGCCAGTCTGAGAAGACCAGGCTGACCTTGACAGACCGAGGCGGAGAAGGCAGCTTCGTGTGCCAGGATCTCATGAGTTGTGAAAGAAACTCTCCGTGCTATTCCTAAAATGTCACACATGGGCATGCAGCCCGGGCTTAAGAATTCCGGGTCCCCCCTGATCACCCGCAGGAGATGGGAGGGTAGGGTGGCCAGATCCAGGTTGGGAAACTTCTGGAGATTTGGGGGTGGAGAGTTACATATTGATGACACGTTGTCCCTGACATGGCAGTTCTATTTGCACTCTTAGGACCTAAACTGGACCTAAACTGGAAGGTATATAATATTTCCAGTTCATACAACAACTTCTGACACAAGGCCAGATTTATTTGTGGGCCCAAAAAGAAGAAGAAGAAGAAAAGGAGGAGGAGGAGATTGGATTTATACCCCACCCTTCATTACCCAAAGGTGTCTCAGAGTGGCTTACAAACTCCTTTCCCTTCCCCTCCCCACAACAGACACCCTGTGAGGTAGGTGGGGCTGAGAGAGCTCTTGACAGAAACTGCTCTTTTTCAAGGACAGCTCTTATCAGAACTACGGCTTGCCCAAGGTCATCCAGACAGGTGCAAGTGGAGGAGTGGGGAATCAAACCTGGTTCTCCCGGATTAGAGGCTGCACACTTAACCACTACACCAAACTGGCTCTCTAGAAACTTTTTGGTGTTGTCATTCAATTCCATATTGGAACATTCCAATTTTGGTCCTATTTTATCTATTTATTATTTATTTTTAATTGCCTTACATGTGTTACAGGGACTCTGTTGCTCATTATGTTTTGCACTACTTGACCTCTGAAGAAGGCTCTTGTGAGCTTGAAATGCGTCAGGTCATACACTGTTCTCTTTTGTGTGTGTTTGTCACTTTGTACATTTTATGTCTCCTGCCAACCTAGCAGTTAGAAAGCAAGAAATTGCAAGTAGATAAATAGGTACCACTTCGGTGGGAAGGTGACAGCATTCCGTGCGCCTTGGTGTTTAGTCATGCCGGCCACATGACCACAGAAATGTCTTTGGACAGCGCTGGCTCTTCGGCTTTGAAACGGAGATGAGCACCGCAACCCTAGAGTTGGATTCGACTGGCTTTCGAGCAAGGGAACCTTTACCATTACCTTTTTTACATTTTATGTGGCTTTTTTGGGGTCCCTACTAGGTTTTTATATGTCTTTGTAATAAACACTCTTTTGTACACTTTCTTATGTTTTTTTTGGCCCTCAATTAGTTTTCTAAACTTCCTTTGGAGATTTGGGGATGGAGCCTGGGGAGGACAGGGACCGCAGCGGGGCACAACGCCATAGAGCCCACCCTCCAAAGCACCCATTTTCTCTGGGGGGACTGATCTCTGTAGTCTGGAGATGAGCTGTAATTCTGGTGCATCCCCAGGTCCCAACTGGAGGCTGGCATCCCCTACTTGACCAGACTCATCTGGACTCCTGTATAGGATCCCATGGTCCAACCACGACGCTTAGGCCCTGGTCAGAGCCTTTGGAGGCTGGTTTTGTTTCCTCAACTTTTCCCCGACATTGCATACAATGGTAGCTCAGCAAAGACCACCCCCTCCCTCTCTGCAATCTCTGCAACCTCTAGCAGAGCTCCTGTGTGTATTTGGCGAGAAGACTACTATCCAGGGGTCATTTCCTGCGGGAGCACAGGAGCGGAGCTCCGGCAGTAAAGAGCCCAGGGGGCGGGCACATGCAACAAGCCCCGCCCCCTGCTCCCAGCAGCCCTGGGCCACGAGGAGCAAGAAGCAGCCAGGTAAGTTGCAGTGGGTGTTGCCTTCTGACACACTTCCGGTGATGTCAGGGTGTGTGGCATATGCAAATAAATTATGCTAAGGAGCTCCTGCACCTCTTTTTCTACGAAATGACCCATTGCCCTTGAGGTAGGGACAGTTTTAAGATGCCCAGCTCCGCTTGAGGGAATGCCCCTGCCGTCAGATGAAGAGTGCTTGCGGAATGTCCATGCCAGGCACTTACTGGAGAGGACGATGATGCCCACCAGTAAGCCCAGCAGCACCATGAGTACCATACTGAGGATAGCCACGCAGAACCAGGAGAATTTGCAGTCTGGCTTGAACTTCCTGCTGGTCACATCCCGGACCTGTTGAGCTGTGAACAGAGAATGAGGGTCACACAGTCGAGTAGTAGGAACGTACCAAGCGGCCTTACCTTTAGTCCGACCATTCGTCCATCTAGTTCAGTATTGTCTGCTCTGGGGAAGGGCTGTGGCTCAGTGGCAGAGCATCTGCTCGGCATGCAGAAGGTCTCAGGTTCAATCCTCAGGATCTCCAGTGTTAAATACTGGGTTCTGGACGCATTGCAGTGATCCGCTCTAGTTTATTTGGTGATTTCAGGAACCCAACAAAGACACCCAGCAGGGCTTGAGCCCTGCTTATATAGCATGCAAACACCCCACCCCACACACACCCACTCCCAAGGATTACATTACACTGCTTATCTATAGGCCAATTCCAGGATCCTGGTCGGCTATTGTTCTTGGGGAGCAAGCTCACCCATTTCAAGGTCCACAGTCAGGAATGGCTTAGGCTCAATACATAACATCCAGTTGAAAGGGTTAGGGAGTAAATTATGTGAAAAACACTCTGCCTGGGACCCTGGAGAGCTGCTGCCAGTCTGAGTCCACAATTCTGACCTTGATGGACCACAGGTGTGATTCAGTATAAGGCCACCGCACACCACACATCTTTGTGTGTGCTCGGGAGGGGCTTTGGCTCGGTGGCAGAGGATCTGCTTTGTACTTAGGAAGTCTCAGATTCAATCCCTGGTGGTATCTCCAGTTAAACAGACCCAGTAGGAGATGATGTGAAGAACGTTTCCCCCTGAGACCATGGAGAGCTGCTGCCAGTCTAAACAGACCAGGGGTCCCCAGCCTTTTTGAGCCTGTGGCCACCTTTGGAATTCTGAGATGACATGGAGGGCACATCCACAAAATGGCTGCTGCAGGAGGAGTAGCCAGCCACAAAATGGCTGCCACAGCTTACGTGTGGCTGGATGACCACACTTCTGGCAACATGGGGGTGTGGCCTAATGTGCTAATGAGCTGTGCTGTCAGGGGTGTGGCCCAATATGCTAATGAGTTCCTGCTGTTGGGTGTGGCCTATTATGCTAATGAGTTCCTGCTGGACTTTTTCTACAAAGAAAGCCCTGGTGATACCAAGGGCACCATGTTGGGGACCCCTTAAGTAGACAGTACTGACCTTGATGGACCAAAGGTTTGCGTCAGTATAAGGCAGCTTTGTGTGGGTGGGTGTCTGTGGGACTGGCAGAGGCTCTCCGGAGTCTCAGGCAGAGAAAGTTATTTCCCAGCACCTGCTATTGGAGTTCCTTGGGGTTGTCAGGAATCGAACCTGGGTCCTTCTGCATGGACCGTGTGCAGCCACGGAGCCACAGACAGCCGCTCCCTGTGCGGCTGTTGCATGGAACCGCCACTGGATTGCATGCCTCGGCCTAACCTGTCTGGAAAATGGGATCGCATGGCACTCAGAAAGCGCAACAGAATTTTTCAAACATCTGGGCTCCCAAAAGGTGGGAAGCCGCTTCCTTTTCACTCTGATCACTGGTCCATCCTGTTCAGTACCGTCTGCTCTGACCGGCAGCAGATATCCAGGCAGAAAAATTTCCTCCTGGGCTGCGAACTGGACTTGAAGCCTTCTGCATGCCCGGTGTGCGTGTTCTGCCCCGGGGTTTGCCCCAGCCGCATTTAGCTTTGTGCTCAGGGACCTCAGAAGAAGAGAAGAAGAAGAAGAGATTGGATTTATACCCCACCCTTCACTTGGAGTCTCAGAGCGGCTTACAAACTCCTTTCCCTTCCCCTCCCCACAACAGACACCCTGTGAGGTGGGTGAGGCTGAGAGAACGCTGACACAAACTGCTCTTTTTCAAGGACAGCTGTGCCAGAGCTTGTGACTGACCCAAGGTCACATCAGCAGGTGCAAGTGGAGGAGTGGGGAATCAAACCCGGTTCTCCCCGATTAGAGTCCGCACACTTAACCACTACACCAAACTGGCTCTCCAGTCACCCTTCCCCCTCCTCCCCCCTCCCCCCAAACCTCCATACCCAGAGGAGCACAACCAGTGCCTCAACTACCCTCTCCGTATCATCTTCTCCCCCCAGGTTGATACCAAAGCCGTTGGCGGCGAGCTTCACGCTGGTTCTGTCTTCCCCGTCTGGGCGATTCGGGGACGGGACCTCTCCTTCCACCTCGAAGACAGGGTTGGAGAACTCAGTCAGCAAGAAGCGTGGCAGGGTCAGAGGAGGAGAGCCGGCATTTTCCTGTGAGGAAACCAGACGGTCAAGAAGGATAGTCGGGGTTTTTATGCCCTGCATTTCTCTATCGGAAGGAGTCTCTGGCTGTGGTCATTTTGATCGGGTTTCACCGCTGTTCCCTCTCGCATTTAAAATTGCTCATTCGCACGATCCTTCCGGTTCCCTAGCGAGTTTTCCGACACTGAGAAAATCAAGTACTTTCTGGGTATTTGCGCTTTGAATCCTCAATTTTGCCTTTCTGGACAGTCATCTCTCGCAATGATTGTGATTAGGTCGTCTGAATGTCCTTCTTCTGGTAGGTTTTTTTTGTGTGCGACTTTCACCATTGTGCGCGTGTGTGCGCATGCGCATATGTGCAGAAGCAAATATATATATATTATTAAATTGTGCCGCGCTGCCACTTGGGCGGCGCGGCTGTCTGGACAGCGCCTGGAGCATTGTCGCGCAAAGCAAGCGGTGGGGCAAAGGATGTCTGATCATCCGAACACGCTTAAAAATATCCCCAATCAAATCTACAGCGGGAACAAATCGCGGTACACTTTACGGCCGCCTCCCCCTCCTCTCCCCAAAACAGGTATCTTGTGGGGTCAATGGGGCTGAGAGAGTTTTGAGAGAACTGTGACCGGCCCAAGGACACCCAGCAGGCTTCATGTGGAGGAGGAGTGGGGAATCAAACCTGCTTCTCCAAATTTGAGTCCGCCGCTCTTAACCACACCACACCGCACCATACTCACCACAGTGGTGAGACAGACAGTTGTGCAGGTTACAGAGAGCGGGGTGAAGCAGTGAGCGTGACAGATTAATGTGCTGGCTTGAAATGGGATTGCCAAGCAGTTTGGGAAATTCCTGTAGATTTTTTTGGGGGGGGGAGTCCCTGTGAAGGGACTTCCATTTCTCCCCTCTGAAGCTGCCATTTCCCCCCAGGGTAACTGAATTCTGTAGTTTGGAGATCAGTTTTCGTTCCAGGAGAACTTCTTGGGATGCCAGCCTCCAGGTGGGACCTGGGGATGCCCCGGAATTACAGCTCATCTCCAGACTACAGAGATCAGTTCTCCTGAAGAAAATTGACGCTTTGGAGGGTGGGCTCTATGGCACTGTACCCCACTGAAGTTCCTGTCCTCCCCCAGGTTCAAGCCCCAAATCTCCAGGAGTTTCCCAACCTGGATCTGACAACCCTATATCCTTACTCCCCTGCTGGTGGCCAGGGAGGACCTGGCAACTCAAACTTTAGCCCCCAACTGGAGGCTGGCAATCCCAGCTTCCAGGGCTTTTTTTGTACAAAAAGCCCAGCAGGAACTCATTAGCATAATAGGCCACACCCAACAGCAGAAACCCATTAGCATATCAGGCCACACCCCTGACAGCACAGCGCATTAGCATATTAGGCCACACCCCCAGAAGTGTGGTCGTCCAGCCACACCCACCTTTTGCTTCTTATTCTGTTTACCTTGTTTGTTGTCAAAACCCAGGGCCTTTTTTTGTAGCAGGAACTCCTTTGCATGTTAGGCCACACCCCCCCTAATGTAGCCAATCCTAATGAGTTTCTGCTGTTGGGTGTGGCCTATTATGCTAATGAGTTCCTGCTGGGCGTGGCCAACTCAGGAGCCAGTCGGAACTCCGTTCCTGTGCGTTCCTGCCCAAAAATAGCCCTGCCAACTTCAAACCAGAGCTTCTTCTGTCTACCCCTGAGTAGCACCCCCAGCTCTGGGTAGGGAAATTCCTGGAGATTTTGGGGGCAGAGCCTGGGATGGGCATGGTTTGGGGCGGGGAGGGACCTCAGCAGGGTGTAATGCCATAGAACCCACCTTCTAAAGTAGCCATTTTCTCCAGAGGGACCATAGCCTGGAGATCAGTTGTGATTCTGGGAGATCTCCAGCCACTACCTGGAGGTTGGCAACTCTACCTTTGAGGTAGTGGCCAGACAGTTGCTCACGACCCAGGGAGTCCCGCTCAGTAAGAAATTCACAGGGTGACTGTGGCCAGTTGTTTCATTCAGCCTACCTTACCTCACGGGGTGGATGTGAGGACAAAACCAATCAGGGGGAGAGAAGGTAACGAATTTCAGATTTATGTATTCCTAATCCTATTACATTGCTTATTAAAGGTCTCGTTCTATTGATTTCATTGGCTTGCAACTTACACTGTGTAATACTCCCTGAATCTCAGTGAGAAAAGAAAACTACAAATACATCAGTCAAAATCACATACATTAGCTTCAGCTCTTTATTTATTTATTTATTTATTTATTTATTTATTTATTTATACCTTGCTTTTCTCCCCAGTGGGGACCCAAGGGGGCTTATATCCCTCTCCCCTTTTCTGTTTCATCCTCACAAGTCTTGGAAAAATTGGCAAAAATAACTCAGATATTCAAAGTTTGCAATGGATCTTTGCTTCACTGGAGTGGAGGCATTTCTTTCTGTGTAAAAACTTTTATTTCTAAGGGAAGGGTACACAGGAAAAGCGACAAAATAAAAGACCTAAGGCTACATCTCTACAGAACAGACCGACCACACAACTGTAATAATGGAGATTCTTCTTCTTCTTGACCCCTAGAAGGAAACCACCTGAATACATTAACTAATGATTGTGAGTAAACAGACTTCAGTTTCCCAGGCTTTCTGTCCATTGGATCTGTGCCAGGTAGGTTTCCCTTCCAGGTCAGTCTAAACAATAGCACAGAAAGTAAACAGATTACCCCTATAATGACTGAATTAGACCTTGCAACACACACGTATTTCCAACAACAAGAACCCTGTTTAGGCTGAGAGAGTGTGACTGGTTCAAGGTCACCCAGCGACATTCCACGGTATGAATGGGTGATGCTCATTGGCAGAGGCAAGCCAGGCCTCAGAGGGGCATCCGCACTCTCCTCATTCTGCTGGACTTGAGAACAAATGCAACCTCTGGATATTTTTCAGAGTGCGTTATGTTGCGGCTTGATCTGGGCATGTGTGCCTGTGTCCAGAGTACCTTCTTGTCCAGGAAAGGGCACATCTAGTACAGCCTCTGGAAACACCATTTTTCAAAGCCATGAGTATAAGTGTCAGGTACCCAGCTAAGACACTCCCCACACACACCATTGGCAATGAATGCTTTATTAGAGATTTGCTTGCTGTAGATAACAAAACTTTTGTTAGGACTGAAGGAAATCACAGGAACATACAGGTTATGGGTAAAAGCATAACATTCCTCACTCACACACGTCACACCTACCCCTGGCGTTACCAGGGGTCATTTCCTGCAGGAGCGCACAGGAGCGGAGCTCCGGCAGTAAAGAGCCGAGGGGGCGGGCACATGCAACAAGCCCCACCCCCTGCTCCCAGCAGCCCTCAGTCAGACCAAGAAGCAGCCAGGTAAGTTGCAGAGCTCCCCCCGGCCCCCCGTCCAAAACAGTCCAGTGGCACCTTTAAGACCAAGTTTTATTCAGGTACAAGCTCTCCCTCCTCTGCGAGGACAGATCTGCACGTCCCCCCCCCATATCCAGCAATCCAAAACAGTCCATTGGAGCCTGAGCCATGGGTGTTGCCTTCTCACACACTTCCAGTGATGTCAGGGGGTGTGGCATATGCAAATGAGTTATGCTAATGAGTTATGCTAATGAGCTCCTGCACCTCTTTTTTCTACGAAATGACCCCTGGGCATTACTATGGCAACACAGATATATGGTGCCCTATCTGACCTAGGCTAGGCACGAAGATGCACCAAGGTCAGTCTCATGGAAATCAACACTTTGGCACAACTTCAGGAATAATTATGGCTGCAACTCCCGTGCATTCACACAACCTAGGCTTGCCAAGTCCCCCCGGGTGGTGGGGAAACCCCTGCCCCAGAGGCCCATTTTCCGCCGCCGGTGGATCGGGCCCCGGGGGGAACCCCACCCCGGGAAAGGAAAGCATAACTTGGAGAAACGAAAGTTAAAACAGCCTGAGCTTTGCCTGAGCTTGACTCTAAGCAATAGGACAAAGTTTGAGTCCAGTGGCATCTGACAGCAAGAAGATCAAATCAGTCAATCCTAAAGGAAATCAACCCTGACTGTTCCCTGGAAGGCCAGATACTGAAGCTGAAGCTCAAATACTTTGGCCACCCAATGAGAAGGGAGCCCTCACTGGAGAAGACCCTGATGCTGGGAAAGACTGAAGGTCAAAGAAGACGGGGACGGCAAAGGATGAGATGGTTAGACAGTGTCATAGATGCAACGAACATGAAATTGAGCAAACTTCAGAGGACAGTGGAAGACAGGAGGGCCTGGCGTGATATGATCCATGGGGTTGCGACGAGTCGGACCCGACTGTGCGACTGAACAACAACATAAGCTTTCATGTGCATGCACACTTTGCCAGATACTTCATTGGTGTGGATGCACGCGAAAGCTCACACCCAGAATTAAGCTTTGTTGATCTTAAAGGTGCCACTGGACCAGCGCTCCCTCTAAGCTGTGGAGTCTCGTGAGCAAAAATTCTACTTTGTGAGCTATCGGCGTTAAAGCTGTGAGCAAGCGATTTGGCTGCTGCATCAATTAGTGTGCTCTGGAGCCCTCCTTCCTGACCTAAGGCAAAAATCTGTGAGCCGGAGGCTAAGAAACTGTGAGCTAGCTCACACGAACTCAGCTTAGAGGGAACCCTGCACTGGACTCAGACCTTGTTCTGTTGCCTCAGACCAACATGGCTTGCCCACCTGAAGAAGTCTAAGCCTTTTTCGATTCAAGCCTGAAAATGGAATTGCTGCTCAGATTAGGTTTTTTAAAACATGTATAGAATCTGTGTCCATCCAGCAAGGAGGCTGGCGTGAAACGCTCGTCCTCAGCCTCCGAAAACAATGCCGGTGAGGCCAGTGGATTTCTGAGCATAATCTCTGCCTCGCCTGTTCTGCTAGGTGGATGTTCAACCCCTGACGGCGAGAGTTCCTACAGGGAAGGAAGATGGCAGCTTGTTTGCACAACGGAATAATTGGGTTTATTTTTAGGCATTAGAATTAAAGCCACCCGACGCTTGCTCCGATTAATC